ATTTGACTTTCATTTGAGTCAAAAATCTTAGTTTAAATGTGTATGACTTTGATTTGATTCAATAAGATTTGTTGAATGCATTTTACTTTTATAGATTACAAAAGCTTTGTTTGAATGTGTTTGACTTTCATTCATTCAATTAGCTTTGTGGAATGCATTTAACTTTCATTTGATATAACTCGCTTTGTTGAATGCATTTATCTTTCATTTGATTCAAAAAAACTATGTTAGAATTTGTTTGACTTTCATTTGATTCAATTAGCTTTGTTGAATGCATTTGACTTTCATTTGATTCAAAAAGCTTTGTTAGAATGTGTTTGACTTTGATTTGATTCAATTAGCTTTTTTGAATGCATTTGACTTTCATTTGATTCAATTAGCTTTGTTGAATACATTTGACTTACATTTGATTCAATTAACTTTGTTGAATGCATTTGACTTTCTTTAATTCAAAAAGCGTTGTTTGAATGTGTTTGACTTTAATTTGATTCTATAAGCTTTGTTGAATTCAAATAACTTTCATTTGATTTCAAAAGCTTTGTTTAAATGTGTTTGACTTTTATTTGATTCTATTAGCTTTGCTAAATGCATTTTACTTTCATTTTATATAAAAAGCTTTGTTTGAATGTGTTTGACTTTTATATGATTCTATTAGCTTTGTTCAATGCATTAGACTTTCATTTGATTTAACTAGCTTTGTAAAATGCATTTGACTTTCATTTTATTCAATAAGCTATGTTTGAATGTGTTTGATTTCCATTTTATTCAATTAGCTTTGTTGAAGAATGCATTTGGATTTCATTTGATTCAAAAAGCTATGTTTGAATGTGTTTGACTTTCATTTGATTCAATTACCTTTGTTGAATGCATTTAACTTTCATTTGATTCAAAAAGCTTTGTTAGAATGTGTTTGACTTTCATTTGATTCAATTAGCTTTGTTGAATGCATTTGACTTTCTTTTGATTCAAAATGCTTTGTTGGAATGTGTTTGACTTTGATTTGATTTAATTAGCTTTGTTGAATACATTTGACTTTCATTTGATACAATTAGCTTTGTTGAATGCATTTGACTTTCTTTTGATTCAAAATGCTTTTTTTGAATGTGTTTGACTTGGATTTGATCAATTAGCTTTTGTGAATGCATTTGACATTCATTTGATTCAATAATCTTTGTTGAATGCATTTGACTTTAATTTGATTCAATTAGCTGTTTTGAGTGTATTTGACTTTCATTTAATTCAAAAAGCTTTGTTTTAAATGTGTTTGACTTTCATTTGATTCTGTTAGCTTTATTGAATGCATTTTACTTTTATTAGGTTCAAAAAGCTTTGTTTGAATGTGTTTGACTTCGATTTGATGCAATTAGCTTTTTTTAATGCACTTGAATTCCATTTGAGACAAAATGTTTTGTTTGTTTGTGTTTGACTTTGATTTGATTCAATAAGCTTTGTTGAATGCATTTGAATTTTATATGATTTCAAAATCATTGTTTGAATGTGTTTGACTTTCATTCAATTCAATTAGCTTTGTGGAATGCATTTAACTTTCATTTGATATAATTAGCTTTGTTAAATGCATTTATCTTTCATTTGATTCAAAAAACTTTGTTAGAATTAGTTTGACTTTCATTTTATTTAGTTAGCTTTGTTGAATGCTTTTGATTTTCATTTGATTCAAAAAGCTTTGTTAGAACGTGTTTGACTTTGATTTGATTCAATTAGTTTTTTTTAATGCATTTGAGTTTCATTTGATTCAATTAGCTTTGTTGAATGCATTTGAATTTCATTTTATTCAATTAGTTTTGTTACATTCATTTGACTATCTTTAATTCAAAAAGCGTTGTTTGAATGTGTTTGACTTTAATTTGATTCAATAAGCTTTGTTGAATTCAAATGACTTTCATTTGATTTAAAAAGCTTTGTTTAAATGTGTTTGAATTTTTTTTTATTCTATTAACTTTGCTGAATGCATTTTACTTTCATTTGATTTAAAAAGCTTTGTTTGAATGTGTTTGACTTTCATATGATTCTATTAGCTTTGTTGAATGCATTAGACTTTCATTTGATTTAACTAGCTTTGTAAAATGCATTTGACTTTCATTTTATTCAATAAGCTATGTTTGAATGTGTTTGATTTCCATTTTATTCAATTAGCTTTGTTGAAGAATGCATTTGACTTTCATTTGATTCAAAAAGCTTTGTTTGAATGTGTTTGACTTTCATTTGATTCAATTAGCTTTGTTGAATGCACTTGACTTTCATTTGATTCAAAAAGCTTTGTTTGAATGTGTTTGACTTTCATTTGATTCAATTAGCTTTGTTGAATGCACTTGACTTTCATTTGATTCAAAAAGCTTTGTTTGAATGTGTTTGACTTTCATTTGATTCAATTAGCTTTGTTTAATGCATTTGACTTTTATATGATTTCAAAAGCTTTGTTTAAATGTGTTTGACTTTCATTTGATTCAATTAGCTTTGTTGAATGCATTAGACTTTCATTTGATTTAAAAAGCTTTGTTTCAATGTTTTTTACTTTGATTTGATTAAATTAGCTTTGTTGAATGCATTTGACTTTCATTTGATTCTAAAAGCTTTGTTAGAATAGGTTTGACTTTGATTTAATTCAATTTGCTTTTTTGAATGCATTTGACTTTTATTTGATTTAATTAGCTTTGTTGAATGCATTATACTTTTATTTGATTCTTTTTTTTTTTTGGTAAATAAGCAATTTTATTACCAGAATAGAAAAAGTTACACCTTATAGAAAAGCAAAATGCAACCTCCAAACTACACAAGCCCCAGAGGGCAGACAAACCCCCACCTCCCCAATCTGAAATGATCATCTTCTAGGAAGGGTATCAAACCAGAAAAGGGGAAACAACACACCTAACCTAGCCTCAAGTGTTAAGGCACCTTCTAGGAAGGGTACTTAACATAAGGACTAGGACAAGCATCACTATACACAAACCTACTCCAAAAACAGGCAGAAAAAGACAAAGAAACAATACTCTCAGGAAGGAATAATGTTTCTTAGAGACACAAACCACTGACAATGTTTCCTTTTCCATTTACAGTTAATAAGCTGCTGGGAATGTTCCACCACTGCTGAACACACCCTCTGATAGAGAACCCTAGGGATTTGAATAGCATGGTTCCAGAAAGCTGAATTCCTGGCAGACCAGAGATAATAAACTAGAGCTGCAAGGCTGGCATATCCAATCTTTCTGAAAATTGGATCCTTGACTACTCTTTTCCAATGCTTCTAAGTGTTCAGAATATTGAAATGAACCTCTTGAATTCCAAGCCAATTACAGATCATCAACAAACATCTTCTACTATACTTACAGTCAAAAAACAGATTTTGCTGACTTTCAATACCATCATCACACAGTAAACACCTGTCAGAATTGCTAATTCCATGTTTAAACAAGACATCTCTGGTTCTTAGTTTATTGAGGATTGCTAACCAGGCTATGAAGGAAGTTTTAGGTATGTTGTATCTATTCCAAATCCAGTATGTCCAATCCACCTTTTCAGCACTCTCCTGCAACCAATCATACACAAAAGCTATAGAGTACTTATTCTCAGTCCAATTACCATCCTTAAAGCCCACTTGAAGCTCATCCTTAACTTTGCAAACCTATTTTCAGGCCCACCCATCAGCCTTCTTTGGCTTGTAAGACCACCAATCCTGAGTCTTAATGTACACATCATGCACCCATTTGACCCATAGTGAGTCCTTTTTCTTAGCAATTTGCCACACATATTTGCCAAGTGCTGCCTTATTCCACCTTTCACAGTCTCTTATGCCAAAACCACCAGCTTTTTTAGCCTTGCAAACCTAGGTCCAAGCCAGAGGAGGAGTTTTAGATAAGATAGCAGACCCACTCCACAAAAAAGCTCTGCATAGCTGATTGATTCTGTGAATAACAGTCTTGGGTAAAAGAACACATTGAGCCCAGTAGGAGTGTAAACTGATCAGGACTGAGTTAATCAAGATGAATATTGCTGAATATGATAGATTTCTGCTTGACCAACACATCAGCTTATGCAGCATTTTAACAATAAGCATATCAAAATCAGAAACTCTAAAGTACTTTGAGTTAAGGGGAATTCCAAGATATCGAAAAGGGGTTGACCCTTCAGCAAAACCAGTGAGCCTCAAGATACTCATTTTAGTTCTTTCATCAACATTACCAAAGTAAATTGCTGTTTTTTCAGGGTTGGCTTTCAAACCTGAAACCTTCTCAAACATATTCAGGGCCCTAAAAATCAAATCCACTGATTTCCTATCACCATAAGTGAATAGCATCAGATCATCTGCAAAAATCAAATGATTAAGCTGGAGGCCTTTGCATCTGTAATGGAATTTAAATTTCCTGAGTTTTCCCACCTTCCTGAGCAACCTTATAAGGTACTCCATAACTATCACAAACAATAAAGGGGACATGGGACCTCCTTGTCTAACTCCCCTTTTACCTTGAAAAAAGCCATGAAGCCCCTCATTTAATAACAGGGAATAAGTGGGAGAAGACACACACACCATAATCCACTGGACAAATTGCTTAGGAAAGCCAAGTGACATAAGCATATCCTTAATAAAATCCCAGTGCATTGAATCATAAGCTTTCCTCACATCCACCTTAATAGTACATCTAGGGGATTTCCTCTTATTATTATAGTCTTTAAGCATATCTTGACAAATCAAAATATTGCCCATAATTGACCTACCAGCTACAAAAGCCCCCTGGAAATCATCAATAATAGCAGGAAACACTTCTTTCAATCAAGAACAGATCATTTTAGAGATAATCTTGTAAATCACATTACAACAAGCTATAGGTCTAAACTGAGTTACCACACTTGCATTTTCAATTTTTGGAATCAAGGTGAAAGTAGTAGTGGACACCTGTTTCAGCAGCTTACCATGCTCAAAGAAACCCAGCACAACTTTACATAAATCATCTTTCACTAAGTTCCAAGAATTCTTGAAGAATCTGCTAGAGAAACCATCTGGCCCCAGGAGCTTTGTCCTCATCAATACTCCATAAAGAACCTTTAACATCCTTCTCTTCAAATTTTCTACAAAGAGCCACCTTCTGAGCAGCATTGAGAACAACAACTTCCATTATAACCTCAGGATGAATCTTCTTTTGAGGCACAGAAGAGGTACCCAGCAACCTAATATAATACTTGATAAAAGCATCAGCTATGACAACAGGGTCCTGAGAAACTTCTCCATTATCCAATGAAATACTCACAATCCTATTATGAACTCTTCTACTCCTCAAACAAGCATGAAAATAAGCAGAGTTTATATTCCCATCTCTAAGCCAATGAAGCTTGGCCTTTTGTCTTAGGAATTGAAACTTAGCTTTGTAAGCATTAGCATACCTGTCTCTAGCCACACTTTCAGCTTGAATGAGATCCTCATTTTTGGGGTCCAAATTAAGATTTTCCTGACACTTCAGCAATTCACTAGCAGCCACATCATCAGCTGTTTCAACATTTGAGTACTGGGACAGGTTTATCTTTTTAAGACAGCCTTTAACAGCTTGTAACTTTTTGATTAAGACAAACATATCAGTACCTTGAATCTCAGTATTCCAGGCCTGCTTAACAATATCATTATATCCTGGAAAATTTGTCCAAATATTGAAGAATCTAAAAGGCTTTTTAAGACCCTCAGCTTCACCAAACATTGACACAGTATAAGGACAATGATCCATAAGCCCTTCAGGGAGGAACACAACATTTGTATTCTTAAAAATCTCAAACCACTTCTCATTCACCAACATTCTATCAATCTTAGTACACACTCTATCACTACCTTGTTGCTTATTTGTATAAGTAAAAAAGAGCCTCCTGTTTTAAAATCAATCAACTCACAATGCCTCGAGCATTCTATGAAATTCTCTACTTCATGTAAAAAACAAGGAGAACCTACCCTATCTTCCATGTTCAGAATGTTATTAAAATCTCCACACACAACCCAGGGGCTAGAAACTGTAGGCCTGATCTCTAGCAATTGTTTCCAAAGATTTTCTCTACCAATAGCCACATTCACCCCATACACCATAGTACACCAAAAAGAAACACCAGAAGCCCTGTGAGTGACATAGGTGTGAATCCATTGAATTTCAATTCTCATAGCCTGCACTATATAAACAGAAGGTTGCCAAATCACCCATATTCTACCTTTATCTACCTTACTGTAATTAGTAATAGCAGACCACTGACCTTTAAAACTCTCAAAAATCTCCCCAAACTTCTTAGCCTTTACTTTAGTCTCAATGAGCCCAAACAAACCCATATTATGATGCTTCAGAAACCAAAGGACATCACAGATTTTACTAGGTTGGTTCAAGCCTCTTATATTCCAGAAACCCCACTTATCCATTACATTTGTATGAGCATTCACCTCTTTCCCACACACCTTCCAGTACCTTCTCATTTCTCATAACCATTCCCTATTTTAATCTCAGAGGCTGCTTCTTCATCACCTCAGCAATAACACTGACATCTTGATCTGTATCCTACAACCTCTCAAACCTGTTACTAGTTTGCATACCCTTAGCACCACTACCCTCTTCCTGTAGAGTAGCACCTGTTAGAACCAAACCTTGTCCAGTTCCTTACATAGGCTTTTGCACAGGAAACTATTTAGTTTCATGCACAGGCTTCACAACATGTTCATGAGCCTTTCCCTGCACAGGTTTCTGCATAGGTCTCCACCTCTTTTGATTCATAACAGACTTCTGCTGTCTTGGTTGATTTTTCCTGACTTTAACAAACTGATTAGGAAAATCTTGCTCCACATGTCCCATACCCTTACACATATGGCATTCCACTGGTTTCCATTCAAACTGAACAGCTTGCTTAATCCTGTTACCATTCTCATCAAAGAACTCAATGAACTCAGGAAATTCCCCATTGACAGCCACTTCAATCATAATACGAGCATAAGCAATTCTTTTCTTTAAGGCAGTGATCTTATCAGTTTTAATTGGTTTTCCAATCAACCCTGCAATCTTCATTAGAGCCTCCCTTCCCCAAAACTTCAAATCTAGATTTGGGAGTTTGACCCAAACATGAACAACAGACACTTTTTCCTCTCGAATCTTCAAATCAGGTTGCCATCTCTTGGTAATCACCAGTTTTCTGTTAAAGAGAATACGTCTAGTAGCCGACGCCCGTTCTCTAGCATCCCTAGTTCGAAACCGAACCAAAAAAACTCCATTATCACAAGAAAATACTCTATCAATTCCATATTTTCCCCAAACCCTTCTTAAAAAACCATTCATCACAGAATAAAGGGATTGGGTTCTCAGGACATAGCAGACAACAGTAGAATCCCAAAAATCAATTTCAGGTTGAACATCCTGTTTAGTCAATTGAAGAATTCCATCATCATTGATAGCATTGAGGTTATTATTTAGGTCATTAAGATTCATTCCCTCATCAGTCATACTCCTAAACAAACCACCCCACAATTTTCCACCATGAATACACTAATTACCCTCAACAGGGGAAGAACGCAAAACAGAGGACGAGCAATTGGGGGAAAATGGTTTCGGGCTAGAAACACCCTCAAAATTCAAGTTCGGTGAACAATTAAAACCACTACCATCATCCTCAAGAAACACTTGATTTGAATCAGCAATCATCATCAATGGTGATGGGTTAAGGGATTTTTCCCCATAACCCGAAACAGAGTCATTCACCATTGAAGGGGTAGAGTCAATTACCTACAGCCATTAATTAAAATCAAAGCTCAGCATCGCTTTGATTTCTTCAGAGTCTTCTTTAATGGGGATTTCATCAATAGTTGCACCATCCAACCAACTTCGAGCCGAACCCACATCCGACACAATTTCTTGATCCTCAATCGGTTTCTTGCATGATCTAAGCTTATATCTCTGCTTTTTATTTGCTTTAGAGGAGGATTTAGAGCCAAAATTCTTCTTCGCTTTCCCTTTTTTATAATTGGCCATGGCCTAAGCATGAGCTTTGAGTGTAAAAAATGGTGGCACGAAGACTTTCTCTCTCTAGACTTTCTCTCTACTTACATTTGATTCAACATTTATTTGATTCAATTAGCTTTGTTGATTGCATTTAACTTTCTTTAATACAAAAAGCTTTGTTTGAATGTGTTCAACTTTCGTTTTATTCATTAGCTTTGTTGAATTCAAATGACTTTCATTTAATTTAAAAAGCATTGTTTGAATGTGTTGGAGTTTGATTTAATTCTATTAGCTTTGCTGAATGCATTTTACTTTCATTTGATTTAAAAAGCTTTGTTTGAATGTGTTTGATTTTCATATAATTCTCTTATCTTTGTTGAATGCATTAAACTTTGATTTGATTTAACTAGCTTTATAAAATTCATTTGACTTCCATTTGATTCCAAAAACTATGTTTAATGTGTTTGACTTTCATTTTATTCAATTAGCTTTGTTGAAGAATGCATTTGACTTTCATTTGATTCAAAAAGCTTTGTTTGAATGTGTTTGACTTTCATTTGATTTAATTAGCTTTGTTGAATGCATTTAATTTTCATTTGATTCAAAAAGATTTGTTTGAATGTGTTTGACTTTCATTTGATTCAATTAGCTTTGTTGAATGCATTTGACTTTCATTTCATTTAAAATGCTTTGTTTGAATGTGTTTGACTTTGATTTGATCAATTAGCTTTTTTGAATGCATTTGACTTTCATTTTATTCAATTAACTTTGTTGAATGCATTTAAATTTCATTTGATTCAATTAGCTTTGTTGAATCCATTTGACTTTCATTTAATTCAAAAAGCCTTGTTTAAATGTGTTTGACTTTTATTTGATTCAATTATCTATTTTGAATATATTTGACTTTCATTTGATTCAAAAAGCTTTGTTTGAAAGTGTTTGACTTTCATTTGATTCAATAAGCTTTGTTGAATGCCTTTAACTTTCTATTGATTCAAAAAGCTTGGTTTAAATGTGTTTGACTTTCATTTGAATCAATTAGCTTTGTTGAATGCATTTGACTTTCATTAGATTCAAAAAACTTTTTTTGAATGTATTTGACTTTGATTTGATTCAATTAGCTTTGTTGAATGCATTTGACATTCTTTTGATTCAATTAGCTTTGTTGAATGCATTTAACTTTCTTTTGATTCAAAATGCTTTGTTTAAATGTGTTTGATGACTTTGATTTGATCAACTAGTTTTTTTGAATGCATTTGACTTTCATTTTATTCAATTAGCTTTGTTGAATGCGTTTGACTTTCATTTGATTTAATTAGCTTTTTTGAATGCCTTTGACTTTCAATTAATTCAAAAAGCTTTGCTTAAATGTGTTTGACTTTCATTTGATACAATTAGCTTTATTGAGTGCATTTTACTTTCATTTGATTTAAAAAGCTTTGTTTGAAGGTATTTGAATTCACTTTGATTTAAAATGCTTTTTGAATGTGATTGACTTTGATTTAATTCAATAAACTTTATTGAATGCATTTGACTTTTATATGATTTCAAAAGCTTTGTTTCAATGTGTTTGAATTTCATTTGATTCAATTAGCTTTTTTAAATGCATTAGACTTTCATTTGATTTAAAAAGCTTTGTTTCAATGTTTTTTACTTTGATTTGATTAAATTAGCTTTGTCGAATGCATTTGACTTTCATTTGATTCAAAAAGATTCGTTAGAATGTGTTTTACTTTTATTTGATTCAATTTGCTTTTTTAAATGCATTTGACTTTTATTTTATTTAATTATCCTTGTTGAATGCATTTGACTTTTATTTGATTCAATTAGCTTTGTTGATTGACTTTCTATAATTCAAAATGCTTTGTTTAAATGTGTTTGACTTTCGTTTGGTTCAATTAGCTTTGTTGAATTCAAATAACTTTCATTTGATTTAAAAAGCATTGTTTGAATGTGTTTGAGTTTGATTTAATTCTATTAGCTTTGCTGAATGCATTTTACATTCATTTGATTTAAAAAGCTTTGTTTGAATGTGTTTGACTTTCATTTGATTCAAAAAACTTTTTGAATGTGTTTGACTTTGATTTAATTCAATTAGCTTTGTTGAATGCATTTGACTTTCATTTTATTCAATTATCTTTGTTGAATGCATTTGACTTTCATTTGATTCAATATGCTTTGTTTCAATGTGTTTGACTTTGATTTGATCAATTAGCTTTTTTGAATGCATTTGACTTTCATTTTATTCAATTAACTATGTTGAATGCGTTTGACTTTCATTTGATTCAATTGGCTTTGTTGAATGCATTTTATTTTCTTTTAATTGAAAAAGCCTTGTTTAAATGTGTTTAACTTTTATTTGATTCAATTAGCCTTGTTGAATGCATTTTACTTTCATTTGATTTAAAAAGCTTTGTTTGAATGTGTTTGACTTTCATTTGATATGATTAGCTTTGTTGAATGAAATTGACTTTCATTTGATTCAAAAAGCTTTGTTAGAATGTGTTTGACTTAGATTTCATTCAATTAGCTTTGTTAAATGCATTTGACATTTATTTGATTCAATTTTCTTTGTTGAATTTATTTGACTTTCTTTAATTCAAAAAGCTTTGTTTGAATGTGTTTGAATTTTATTTTATTCAATTAGCTTTGTTGAATTCAAATGACTTTCATTTGATTTAAAAATCTTTGTTTTAATGTGTTTCACTTTGATTGGATTCTATTAGCTTTGCTGAATGCATTTTACTTTCATTTGATTTAAAATGCTTTGTTTGAATGTGTTTAACTTTCGTATGATTCAATTAGCTTTGTTGAATGCATTAGATATTCATTTGATTTAACTAGCTCTGTAAAATGCATTTGACTTTCATTTCATTCAAAAAGCTATGTTTGAATATGTTTTACTTTCATTTTATTCAATTAGCTTTTTTGAAAAATGCATTTGACTTTGATTTGATTCAATTAGCTTTGTTGAATGCATTTAACTTTCATTTGATTCAAAAAGCTTTGCTTGAATATGCTTGACTTTCATTTGATTTAATTAGCTTTGTTGAATGCATTTGACTTTCATTTGATTCAAAAAACTTTTTGAATGTTTTTTACTTTGATTTAATTCAATTAGCTTTGTTGAATGCATTTGACTTTCATATTATTCAATTAGCTATGTTGAATGCATTTGACTTTCATTTGATTCAAAAAGCTTTGTTTGAAAGTGTTTGACTTTCATTTGATTCAATAAGCTTTGTTGAATGCCTTTAACTTTCATTTGATTCAAAAAGCTTGGTTTGAATATGTTTGACTTTAATTTGAATCAATTAACTTTGTTGAATGCATTTGACTTTCATTAGATTCAAAAAACGTTTTTTGAATGTAATTGACTTTGATTTGATTCAATTAGCTTTGTTGAATGCATTTGACATTTTTTTGATTTAATTAGCTTTTTTGAATGCATTTGACTTTCATTTGATTCAAAATGCTTTGTTTGAATGGGTTTGACTTTGATTTGATCAATTAGTTTTTTTGAATCCATTTGACTTTCATTTTGTTCGATTAGCTTTGTTGAATGCGTTTGACTTTCATATGATTTAATTAGCTTTGTTGAATGCATTTGACTTTCATTTAATTCAAAAAGCTTTGTTTAAATGTGTTTGACATTCATTTGGTTAAATTCGCTTTATTGAATGCATTTTACTTTCATTTGATTTAAAAAGCTTTGTTAGAATGTGTTTGACTTCGATTTAATTCAATTAGCTTTTTTGAATGCACTTGACTTTCATTTGAGTCAAAAAGCTTTGTTTGAATGTGTTTGACTTTGATTTGATTCAATAAACTTTGTTGAATGCATTTGACTTTTATAGGATTTCAAAAGCTTTGTTTTAAAGTGTTTGACTTTCATTTTATTCAATTAGCTTTTTTTAATGCATTAGAATTTCATTTGATTTAAAAAGCTTTGTTTCAATGTTTTTTTTCTTTGATTTGATTAAATTAGCTTTGTTGAATGCATTTGACTTTAATTTGATACAAAAAGCTTTGTTAGAATGTGTTTGACTTTTATTTGATTCAATTAGCTTTTTTGAATGCATTTGACTTTTATTTGATTAAATTATCTTTGTTGAATGCATTTGACTTTTATGTGATTCAATTACATTTGTTGATTGACTTTCTTTAATTAAAAAGCTTTATTTGAAGGTGTTTGACTTTCGTTTGATTCATTTAGCGTTGTTGAATTCAAATGACTTTCATTTGATTTAAAAATCATTGTTTGAATGTGTTTGAGTTTGATTTAATTTTATTAGCTTTGCTTTTCATTTAATATAAAAAACTTTGTTAGAATGTGTTTGACTTTCATTTGATTCAAAAAACTTTTTGAATGTGTTTGACTTTGATTTAATTCAATTAGCTTTGTTGAATGCATTTGACTTTCATTTGATTCCATTAGTTTTGTTGAATGCATTTGACTTTCATTTGATTCAAAATGCTTTGTTTGAATGTGTTTGACTTTTATT